GGTGTTACATATGTGCAACATTTCCATACATAACAATGAATTATTGATTTGCATCAAAGTATCAAAGTATCAACGCTGATTAATCTTACATAAGATTACGTTAAAGGAAAACGATGATAGCGCTATTTGCGTTTCAGAGAGAGAGAGAGAGAGAGAGAGAGAGAGAGATTCATGATAGAGTATCATCTATTAGACGTAAAACAAGGACAGACATTGATAGCGTCATCGTAACACATCCACAATGAAAACATTTACTAAGTTCAGTATATTACGCGAGAGGAGTTGCTGTGACGAACAGTAGTACGCAACGACTTGTATCAGTGGTATCGGTAATGTTCTGTGTACAGCCTGTCACATTTTACCAAAAAAGTTTAAAAGAGATTGTAGAAAGATCATCTAATAATATCTATTTATACTATGGAATATTGGTCGATACTACTATCGATAGTGATCGGTGTAATCAGCATTCATTATCTTTTTAAAAATTTTAATTTCTTTAAAAGAAATGGTATTATACACTTATCACCTGTTCCATTATTTGGATCCACGATGTCGATTGTATTTCGTCGAATGTCATTCTTTGATTTCATGTTGAAAATATACAATTTCAAGCCAAACGCAAAATATTTGGGATTGTACTTTACGACAACTCCAGTCTTCTTGCTTCGCGACCTCGAACTCATTAAAACTGTTCTTGTAAAAAATTTCGAGGCGTTTCCAGATCGTCGTGGTTTTGCTGACTTTAATGACTCTTTATTTAAGAAAAATTTGTTTTCTCTTCGCGGAGAAAAATGGCGGAACGTGAGGAATCTGTTGAGTCCCTCTTTTACTTCCAGCAAGATGAAAATGATGTTCACGTTGATGTCCGAATGTGCTGTAGATTTTGCAAAATTTCTATCGACATCACCAGTGGATAAAGGCGATATAGACATGAAAGACATCTGCTCTAAATATACGAATGACGTCATTGCTACCTGTGCATTTGGAATCAAAGTCAATTCTATGAAGGACCCAACGAATAAATTTTATACTTACGGCAAAGAGGCGAGTAACTTCAGAGGAGTCATTCACAGTATAAAGTTCTTTTTTATTGGAACGTTTCCGACACTTGTGCGAATTTTTAATATGAAATTTTTGGATGATTATATATCGAATTTCTTCAAGGACATTATAAAAACTACAATTGCAACTCGCGATGCAGAACACATTACACGTCCGGATATGCTACAGTTAATGATGGATATCAGAGGCAAAGAAGGTCGTAGAGAATTAGACATCGACGACATGACTGCGCAAGCGTTCATCTTTTTCCTCGGCGGTTTCGAGACCAGTTCCACTGCAATGTGCTTCGCAACTCATGAAATAGCAGCTAATCCAGAAATTCAGTTGAAATTGCAACAAGAGATCGACAAAGTTTTGGAGGAATCAAACGGAAAAGTGTCTTACGAAGTTATTAATAGACTCGAATATTTAGATGCAGTGATATGTGAAGCTCTTAGATTATATCCACCAGTTGCCGCCTTAGAAAGAATTTGCGAAAAAACTTTTGAATTACCACCAGCATTGCCGGATGAAAAACCTTTTATTATGAAAAAAGGTATGCTTGTTTGGATTCCAGTTCTTGCAATCCATCGTGATGAAAAGTATTATGACAATCCGAAGAAATTTGATCCAGAAAGATTTTTAAACAATAAGATGAACAATTCTTCGAATTATATGCCATTCGGATTAGGACCGAGAATGTGCATAGCTAACAGGTTTGCCATGCTAGAAGTCAAAATCTTGTTATTCCACTTATTAGCGCAATGTGAGCTAAAACCTTCTCCAAAAACTACGTCCCCAATACAGTTTTGCAAAGATTTCATGATAATGCCGAAAAATGGATTCTGGTTGAATATTCAGCGTAGAAAAAATATGCATCCTGTATTGGAGTCTACTCCTGTAGTGAATAGTTAAGCCTCAGAAAACATTTGAAATGATAATAATACAGATATTACAAAAAATGGTAATAATACATATATTGTAAAAAATGATAATAATAGAAAAATAATAATAAAGAGGTTATAAAGATGTTATAAAAAAATAATAATTATCAATTCTTTGAAATATTTTAAAAATCATTTTTATCATCGTTATTAAATTAAAGACGATTAATATGTGACGTTATTTCCAACTTCAATTCATGTTTGTGATTTAAGAGTCCGCATCCTATACTGTAGAATATAGAAATGATTAATGTATTTATAAATTTTTAACAGTAATGTAAATTTTAACATTATCAATGATAAATTGTGTTACTTATAAATATGAGTATTACTAAATAAAATTGTTCACATCCGTTTCAATCAAAAAAAGGATTACTTTTTTTATTTGATTTACTCTCATTGGTCTAAATTCAACTTATTAAAAAAATTACATTTTAATAAAAACTTTTTTTTAATAAGAATTATATATTACATGCACCTTCATGAAGGTATACATATTATACTATTGTATGAAATAAAATCAACATTATATATTAAAATTATTTATTGCGAATGTTAATTATTAGTCAATAAATTAATAATTTTGTAACTTCAAGGACAAATCCAATATAAATAAATAAAGAGCCTCCGCAATTGTTAGAGCATAAATTGTTAGGCATTTCACTTTATTGAATTAATAATTAATATTATTGAAATATCGTTGAAATATAATGTAGCAAAAATAAAATCAGAACAGATTACAATTTCTATTTAAATGATCAAATTTGATTTTTCCGCCGCTGCAATATATTTTTATATACATTCATATAAAGTTTTAAAAAACAAATAGAAAAAAACGCGATAAGAAATGTGTATAAATCACACGATATTTATTATTATTTATTAATATTATACTACTATTTATTAATATTATACTACTATCCTTAGTAATAGCGTGACTTTTTTAAATGTATGTGCTCGCGTGAGGATCAATTGACCTATATTTTAATTAATTCATTTTTACGTGTAAATCAAATTTTTTTACTTATTTATCACTTATGAATAACTATAAACTAAAACATATTATCAACATAAAATAATAATTTTTAAAGGATAAAAATTACAAGATATCCATGTTCTTAAACAAATTTCTTTATGCAATATTTTGATCAGTTAATTAGATCAGATAATGTGATCAGTTAATCATAACTTTCATAATGAAAAGAAATTACTATATTTGAATGAATATTTTTTTAGTTGTAAATGGACATTTTTATTAATAGTAAGTAAATATATTTAATGAAATGAAAAAAATTGAAAATAAATTAAATTAATGATTCTTATTCAAATTACATATAACATATTTACTCAATCCTACATATGACAGTTTTATTTTCAACTCCATTTCTTGAATACAATGCTTATTAAATAATCGAGTGAATTGAATGATTAAAACAATATAAACATATTCTCATTAATATAATATAATAGGAACTAAGGTTAAAATGATTTCTAATTTATCATGATAGAATCAAAGATAAAAATAAAAAATGGGAGAGGACTTTTCGATTAAGTTCACTCTATCTACATAAGAGTACTTTGTCAAAACTTAATGGATACACTGTATATATGTGTATGTGTGTGTGTGTGTGCGTGTGCGCGCGCGCGCGCGCGTGTGTGTGTGTGTGTATATACACATATGTTACGTATGTGCAACATATAACATATATAACAATGAATTATTGATTTGCATCGATATCAATGCTGATCTTACACAAGATCCGTTAAAGGAAAACGATGATAGCACTATTTGCGTTTCAGAGAGAGAGAGAGAGAGAGAGAGAGAGAGAGAGAGAGAGAGAGAGAGAGAGAGGAGAGAGAGATTCATGATAGAGTGTCATCCATTAGACGTAAAACAAGGACAGACATTGATAGCGTCTCACATATTCACAATGCTCGAATACATTTACTAAGATCTCTAGTATATTATACGATAGGAGTTGCTGTGACGAGCAGTAGTATGCAACAACTCGTATCAGTGGTATCGGTAGTTTTCTGTGACAACCTGTCACATTTTATCAAAAAAGTTTAAAAGAGATTGTAGAAAGATCATCTAATAATATCTATTTATACTATGGAATATTGGTCGATACTACTATCGATAGTGATCGGTGTAATCAGCATTCATTATCTTTTTAAAAATTTTAATTTCTTTAAAAGAAATGGTATTATACACATACCATCTGTTCCATTATTTGGATCGGCGACGTTTTTATTTCGTCGAATGTCATTCTTTGATTTCATGTTGAAAATATACAATTTCAATCCAAACGCAAAATATTTTGGATTGTACTTTACGACAACTCCAGTTTTCTTGCTTCGCGACCTCGAACTCATTAAAACTGTTCTTGTAAAAAATTTCGAGGCATTTCCAGATCGTCGTGGTTTTGCTGACTTTAATGACTCTTTATTTAAGAAAAATTTATTTTCTCTTCGCGGAGAAAAATGGCGGAACGTGAGGAATCTGTTGAGTCCCTCTTTTACTTCCAGCAAGATGAAAATGATGTTCACGTTGATGTTCGAATGTGCTGTAGATTATGCAAAATTTCTATCGACATCACCAGCGGATAAAGGCGATATAGACATGAAAGACATCTGCTCTAAATATACGAACGATGTCATCGCTACCTGTGCATTTGGAATCAAAGTCGATTCTATAAAGGATCCAACGAATAAATTCTATACTTACGGCAAAGAGGCGAGTAACTTCAGAGGAGTCATTCGCGGTATAAAGCTCTTTCTTATTGGAACGTTTCCGATACTTGTACAAATTCTCAATATGAAATTTTTGGATGATTATTTATCGAATTTCTTCAAGGACATTGTAAGAACTACAATCGCAACTCGCGACGCAGAACACATTACACGTCCGGATATGCTACAGTTAATGATGGATGTGAGAGGCAAAGAAGGTCGTAGAGAATTAGATATCGACGACATGACTGCGCAAGCGTTCATCTTTTTCCTCGGCGGTTTCGAGACCAGTTCCACTGCAATGTGCTTCGCAACTCATGAAATAGCAGCTAATCCAGAAATACAGACGAAATTACAACAAGAAATCGACAAGGTTTTAGAAGAATCGAACGGAGAAGTGTCTTACGAAGTTATTAATAGACTCGAATATTTAGATGCGGTGATAAGTGAGGCTCTTAGATTATATCCACCAATCACAAACTTAGAAAGGTTATGTGAAAAAACTTTTGAGTTACCACCCGCATTGCCGGACGAGAAACCTTTTATGATGAAGAAAGGTATGCTTGTTTGGATTCCTGTTCTTGCAATCCATCATGATGAAAAGTATTATGACAATCCGAAGAAATTTGATCCAGAAAGGTTTTTAAACAATAAGATGAACAATTCTTCGAATTATATGCCATTCGGATTAGGACCGAGAATGTGCATAGCTAACAGGTTTGCCATGCTGGGAATCAAAATCTTGTTATTTCACTTATTAGCGCGATGTGAGCTGAAACCTTCTGCAAAAACTACGTCCCCAATACAATTTGGCAAAGGTTTCATGATAATGCCGAAAAATGGATTCTGGTTGAATATTCAGCGTAGAAAAAATATGCATCCTGTATTGGAGTCTATTTCTGTAGTAATGAATAGTTAAAAACTCAGAAAACATTTGAAATGGTAATAATACAGATATTACAAAAAATGGTAATAATACATACATTATAAAAAATGGTAATAATACAGTATTATAAAAAATTACAATTATCAATTCTTTGAAATATTTTAAAATTTATTTTTATCATCGTTATTAAATTAAAGACGATTAATGTGTGACGTTATTTCTAGCTTCAATTCATGTTTGTGATTTAAAAATCCGCATCGGCCTGTACTGCAGAATATAGAAATGATTAATGTATTTACAAATTTTTAACAGTAATGTAAAAATATTAACATTATCAATGATAAATTGAATGATTAATGTGTTACTTATAAATATGAGTGCTATTAAATAAAATTATCAACATCCGTTTTAACTAAAAAAAAGATTACTTTTTTATTTGGTTTATTTTCATTGATCTAAATTCAATTTATTAAAAAAATTACATTTTAATAAAAACTTTTTTTTAATAAGAATTATACATGCACCTTCATGAAGGTATACCTATTGTACTATTGTATGAAATAAAATCAACATTATATATTAAAATTATTTATTGCAAATGTTAACGATTAGTCAATAAATTAATAATTTTGTAACTTCAAGAACAAATCCAATATAAATAAAACGCCTATATGAGCCTCCGCAATTGTTAGAGCATAAATTGTTGGGCATTTTACTTTATTGAATTAATAATTAGTATTAAATATCGTTGAAGTATAATGTAGCAAAAATAAAATCAGAACAGATTACAATTTCTAATTATATGATCAAATTTGATTTTTCCGCCGCCCGCGCGTGTGCAATATATTTTTATATATTGTAAATTCATATAAAGTTTTAAAAAACAAATAGAAGAAAACGCGATAAAGAATATATATAGGCTACACGATATTTATTAATAATATTTATTAATATTTACTACTATCCTTAATAATAGCTTTTAAATGTATGTGCTCGCGTGAGGATCAATTGACTTATATTTTAATTAATTCATTTTACGTGTAAATCAATTTTTTTAATTACTTATAAATAACTATAAACTAAGACATATTATCAACAGAAAATAATAATTTTTAAAGGTTAAAAATTAGAAGATATCCATGTTCTTAAACATATTTCTTTATGTAATATTTTGATCAGTTAATTCATAACTTTCATGAAAAGAAATTACTATATTTGAATGAATATTTTTTTAATTGTAAATGGACATTTTTACTAATAGTAAGTAAATATATTTACTCAATGAAAAAAATTGATAATTAAATTAAATTAATGAGTCTTATTCAAATTATATACAAGATATTTACTCAATCATACATATGACAGTTTTATTTTCAACTCCATTTCTTGAGTACAATGCTTATTAAACAATCGAGTGAATTGAATGATTAGAACGATGTATTCTCACTAATATGATGTAATAAGAACCAAAATATCAAAATGATTTCTAATTTATCATGATAGAATCAAAGATAAAAATAAAAAATTGCACATTGCTAGAGAACTTTTAAATTCACAATCAGATTAGTTCACTTTGTCTATCACGAGCGCTTTGTCAAAACTTACTCTGTGTGTGTGTGTGTGTGTGTGTGTGTGTGTATATATACACATAAAAATATGTGTTACATATGTACAAATAGTATACATAACAATAATTTATTGATTTGCTTCGACCAAAATATTAACACTGATTGACCTTACATAAAGCGCTTTCGGAAAAACGCTAGTAGCGTTGTTTGTATTACTTTACCTTTATTTTCATTAAATGCAAAACAAGGACAGCGTAACACAAATAGCGCGGATAGAGTCATTGCGAACCCATCCATAATGTAGCTTGAAAACATTTACTTCAACGATTACCAGTATATTATGAGATGGGAACTGCTGTAACGAGCAGTTCTACGCAGCGACTCGTGTCAGCAATATCGCTAGTGCTCTATGTATAGTCAATCACATTTTATCAGACGTTTACAAAAAAATTGTTGGAAAATTTTTAAATAACGTTTGTGCCATGGAATTTTATTGGTCGATGTTATTATCGATAGTGATCGGAGTTATCAGCATTCATTATCTTTTTAAAAATTTTAATTTCTTTAAAAGAAATGATATTATACACTTACCGCCTCTTCCATTATTTGGATCTACGATATCGATGGTATTCCGTCGAATATCATTCTTCGATTTCATGCTGAAGATATATAATTGTTATCCAAACGCAAAGTATTTTGGATTCTACTTCACGACAACTCCAGTCTTTCTGCTCCGTGATCTGGAACTCATTAAATCCGTTCTTGTTAAAAATTTCGATGCATTTCCAGATCGTCGTGGTTTCGCCGATTTTAACGATCCTTTATTTGAAAAAAATTTGTTTTCTCTTCATGGAGAAAAATGGCGGAACGTGAGAAATCTGTTGAGTCCTTCTTTTACTTCCAGCAAGATGAAAATGATGTTCACATTGATGTCAGAATGTGCTGTGGATTTTGCCAAATTTCTGTCAACATCAGCAGATAAAGGCGGTATAAACATGAAAGATGTCTGCTCTAAATATACAACCGATGTCATTGCTACATGTGCGTTTGGAATCAAAGTCAACTCTATGAAAGATCCAACAAACAAATTCTATATTTACGGCAAGGAGGCGAGTAACTTCACAGGGGTTCTTCGTGGTATAAAGTTCTTTTTTCTTGAAACATTTCCAAAACTCGGACGAATTCTCAATGTGAAAATTATGAAGAATTATGTTTCGGACTTCTTCAAGGATATTATAAGGACTACAATCGCCACTCGTGACGCAGAACACATTACGCGTCCGGATATGTTGCAGTTGATGATGGATATCAGAGGCAAAGAAGGTCGAAGAGAACTAGACATCGACGACATGACTGCGCAAGCGTTCATCTTCTTCCTCGGCGGTTTCGAGACGACTTCAACTGCAATGTGCTTCGCAGCTCATGAAATTGCAGCTAATCCAGAAGTTCAGACGAAATTACAACAAGAAATCGACAAGGTTTTAGAGGAATCGAACGGAAAAGTGTCTTACGAAGTTATTAATAGACTCGAATATTTAGATGCGGTGATAAGTGAGGCTCTTAGATTATATCCACCAATCACAAACTTAGAAAGGTTATGTGAAAAAACTTTTGAGTTACCACCCGCATTGCCGGACGAGAAACCTTTTATGATGAAGAAAGGTATGCTTGTTTGGATTCCTGTTCTTGCAATCCATCATGATGAAAAGTATTATGACAATCCGAAGAAATTTGATTCAGAAAGATTTTTAAACAATAAGATGAACAATTCTTCGAATTATATGCCATTTGGATTAGGACCGAGAATGTGTATAGCAAACAGATTTGCCATGTTGGAAGTCAAAGTTTTATTGTTTCATTTATTAGCGCAATGTGAACTGAAACCTTCTGTGAAAACTATGTCACCAATAAAATTCTGCAAAGATCTAATAACGATGCCGGAGAATGGATTTTGGTTAAATATTCAGCGTAGAAAAAATATTCATTCTGTACAGGAATCAATAATGGATAGTTAGGCTTCAGAAAACATTTCAAATGCAGTTCTTATAAAAAAATTACAGTTATTTTTTTAAATTTTATTTTTATTATCGTTAAATTGACGATTATTATAACGTATCATATTATGTCCAGCTTCAATTCATGTTTGTGAATTAAGTCCGATAAACCACATCTGTGCAATTTATAGAACTGAATAATGCATTTACAAATTTTCAACTGTAATTTACAAATATTAACATTATCAAGGACAAACTGTATTATTTAAATATATAGTATCGTTAAACATTATCGAGATCTTTTTCAAAAATAGGATTCTCTTTTCATTTGATTTATTTTTCTTGATCTAAATTCAACTTATTGTAAAAGTTATATTTTAATAAAAATTATTTTTATAATAGAAATTGCATATGTACCTTAATGAACATATTGTACATATTGTGTACATATTGTAGTATTATATAAAATAATAATGAAATCAATATATATTAAAATTATTTATTGCTAATGATAATAATTAATTAATTAGTTAATTAATTAGTTTCGTCCCAAGAATAAATCCATTACAAATAAAACACCTGTATGATCCTTTGCAGTTATTAATGTAAATTATATATTTATATGACGATTGGTCTACATTCATAGATAATTATGCATGTCATGTATCAATATGTGTGTAATATTTAATAATCTAACATATATTATCATATCGTGAGATATTTTGGAGGTACATTTAAATTCTTGAAATATCATTTAACAAAAATAAAATCAAAACAGTTTGTAGCAATTTCTATTTATTTGTACAATCGAATTATTTCTCCGATTAATGTAATTTTTAATAATTTATTGATGTATTTTTATGAAAATAAACAGAAGAAAACGCAATATGGAAAATTATAAGGTATATATTATTACCCTTAATAATAGCGTGACTTTTCTTAATGTTAGTGCTCGCGTGAGAGTCAATTGATTTATGTTTTAATTAATTAATTTTTTTAGTGTAAACCCATTTCTTATTTTTACTTATAAATAATTATAAAGTAAGACGAATAATTATATTTAATAATTATTATAAAGTAAGACGAATATAAAGTAACACGTTATCAATAGAAAATAATAATTTTTAAAAGCTAGAAATTAGAAGAAAACTATGTTTTAAAATATATTTCTTTAGGTAATATTTTACCTGTAAATTCATAACTTATTTACTGAAAAGAACTACTATATCTTAATATATATATTTTTGAATATTATAAGTAAACATTACTTACAGTAAATAAATATTTACTCAATAAAAAAAATGCTAGTTAAATTATTTTATTGATTTTCTTTTAAACAAATACATGAGACATTTTCTTATTGAACAAAGTTAACAAGTTTTATTTCCAACTTCTTGAGTACAATGCTTGTCAAGTAATTGAATGAATTGAATGATTGTCATAATAATACACTGTAAAAAATAAAATGTTAATTTTAACATTTTTGCATGTCTCAGAAAATCTACTAAATGTCTTCAAGTTAATTTGAAAAAATAAAATTAATATTTTATTTTTTCAAGTGTATAATCTCATCAGTATGACATAATAAGAATCAAGGTCAGAGTGATTTCTAATTAACCATAATAGATTAAAAGATAAAAATAAAAAAGGGAAAATCACAGAATTGTAGAATTTAAAGATTATAATAAGATTGTAATAAAAACTATTGATAATAAATGTCAACATATATATGTTATCAACAACATATTTTAATTAATAAACTTCTTTGTTGACATACACATGTTACGTAATCTGCTAACGAGTTACATACATATTTATACTTCCATGCAATATACCTACGTGAATTTCAATAACTCTATATATGTCTATGTAAAATTGCATTGTCATTCCATATCATTTGTCATTTCAATATTGATACTAAATTCAACGATTAAATATTTGTATTAACAATAAAAAGTAAGCATAATCATTTGAGATATTAAATTAAAACCTGTGACGCAATCTTATCGACGTAATCTTAACAAATTTATCTGTGGCATACTTATTACATACTTGATGATTTTATTCACTTCATATCAACAAAAAATAAATGCAACAAACAAACATAAAGAAGTATAAGATATAATAAGATAATAAGTCTTATATCTATACATAATTATAATGATATAATTTCTCATAAAATATAAGATTTTATAAAATTCCGTTCGCATACAAACTGAACAACTTTTCATTATTTATTAAATTAAAACAGAACGTATTCAATGGAATTGGTGCATTTTTTTTTTATAAAATTGACATACAATATATACAATAATTTGTACAGTAAATTCGAAGTAACATACTTTTATATATTACTTATTTTTTATCCTATTTGGTCAAATGCTAATTTCAGAAAAAAATATTTTCAATAATAATAAAAAAATATCGTTTTGTATATCTTTCAAAATAAATAAAAAACAACATTAAATACAAAATTTATATAGGAATATGCTTTAAATATTCTTTATATTGTACATGAATATTCTTTAAATTGCACATTTAATATGATCGTGTAAGCTTCTTCATCACTTTTCTTTTTGGATTACATTAGCAATTTAATTTAATATATTCTATATATCTATATATGTAT